AGGAACCCACGGTGATGATTGCGAAGGAAGCGGCGGGGTAACAACAAGTGGATCTACAACATCTGCTACCTAGGTATATCAAAGATAAATTGGTTACTGATTTTGCATATAGTATCAGCGTTAATTAATACTGGAAGAAGAGTGAGAATCAACAATTTTATATTATATTTCATCATTATATTATATCCATTTATTATTATCAAAAATTATATATATATTATTTTATTATTATTATTATGAATTAAATGGTTTAAATGGATAAAATGGGTTTATAGTTTGTTGAAATTCTGATGATAATAATAAAAATTTGCAACGATATTAAATGCGGTTTTTAAATATATAAATATGAATATTCATTTGAATTAATTAATTTTAAATTTTATGTACTTTAACCATCTGCCATTTATTTTGTGCGTACGTTGACCTTTATCTAACAGGATAACTAACCCATAGCGTGTCTTTTATCTTTGTAAAAAAAAGAGCCAATGGCTTTATGATGAGTATCATTCCTTATTTCACACTCTCAATTCTTCTGAATCATTATATTCTTGAACCATAAAATCTGCGTATTTCTTCCAAATATTAATGGCTAAAAGTACAAAAGTGGAATTATAAAAAGCTTCAATAAAAATATTATATATAAATATAGATTAATATTACCTTAAATTTTTCAAGATAATAATTTGAGCCTCAAAGAATAACGAGTACTTCAAATGAATATTTGCGCTCGAACTTATATCATGTGCCGCCAAAATAATTTAAACTTTTCAAGGTATCTATCTATCTGATCCTTTGAATTTCTCATTTGTATATTTGCATTCGAAACAAAAATAGATTGTCGTTATGTAAATGGTTTATTTTTATGTGAAAATGAATTGGATAAATTTGCCAATTCCATTGATTGATAAACGATTAATAAAGAAATAAAACAATCGGAATTTTTTTGTGTTAAAAATAAAATTTCGAATATTTGCACCCAAACATAAATTGCTTATCTTTACGTAAATTCTTTGTTAAAAAAATCATTTAACTTAAAATAGACTATTCAGGAATACGTATTGATTTGATCTTATATATAAATACATATATTTGAATTCTCTCTCACGTTTAAATTATTTTGAAAGATATCTTCAAATAATTTTTCTTTAACAATGTTCATCAAGTTAATAAAAGTTTACAAAAAGTTTCGAGCATTTGTCAGAGGTGAAGATAGTGACGATATAAATGACAATCCAAAGCCCCGTGTAGAATATGAAGAATATTATCATGGCAACCAATTCCAGAGCTACCAGGACGTTTTGGATGAATTCGTCAAAGAATGTAATAAAGAAAGACCGCCTCCATACGATAACTTTAAGCAGAATGATAGCGTCGAATACTTTGATAAAGAACGACTATCAATCAATTCAAATAGTATTAGCGAGGTTGGTGGTCCACCAGATGTCTACAAAATCCTTTTGGTAGGCGGAACTGGAGTTGGAAAATCAACACTGTGTGAAAATC